CCCAAGAGGCAGCGCACAACCACACAGTGTCATGTATAATTTAGTTGATGATGTTATCCAGCAGAAAGTAGCTGTACGTGAAAAAATAATGTCACGCAACTCGGTGTTCTTTAGTTTGCTCTTAAGTTTCCTGAGGATGACATCAGCGTGCTTTCTTGTCAGGACAATCTTCTGCTCCAGCTGCCGAGTCCAGTCCTGCAGCCCAGGCACACAGATCCAGGAGTAGGAAGAAAACACTCAAGGGTGGACAACTCAGACGAGAGCTACACAACCAAGCAGGTATGACGCACTCTTTGTAACTCGTCTAACTTCTGTTTTAGTTTAGGGGGAAAAAAGAAAGAGGAATAATACTATTCATGTGATTCATTCATGAGGGTTTTAAACCACACTAGCAGCATGGCTGTATTGAAAAAGTCAGCTTGCATTGATCGTGGTCTAACAATTTTAAGCAAGTCGGGGTATAGCTAATGTCAAAGACTATATAAGGAAATGTTTGACTTTTTGTGAAAAGTTCCTATTTGCATTCATGTGGTGGGTTTTACAGGGTGTTGTGTGCCAAACTCTTTCCTTGCCAGAACCAGTAACATCCTTTACTGGTTGCCTGGCAATTGTTAATAGCCAGAATAACTAGCTTGGCAGATAACGCCTCATAAAACGGACAACTGATCTGCTGCGTCTTTTGTTCTGATTATATAAACAAGATATAATATGTTAATAAGTGTGCTTTAGAGGTGCAATGAGGTGAACTTTGTTACTTTTCGACAGAGCCAGGCAAACTGTTCCCCGGTTCCATTATTTATGCTAAGCTAAGCTAACTGCCTGCAGCTTCATATTTAACACACAGGCATTAAAGTGGTTTCAATGTTTTCATTTGACCCTCAGCAAGTAAGCAAATAAACTTTTTTTTAAAGGCAAACCATTACTTTAAAGCGGTATTTCTGCCTGCAGTTTATAATCACCATTGCAATCATATGCAGAACTTCCCCCTGCACCAGCCCCTCCCCCTACAGATGACTCCTTGCTGCTCTTGGCTGATGTTTTGAGCCGCAGTCGAACAGACAATGAAAGAAAAGAGGGGAGCGACTCGCCAACTCTTCAGAAGAGGGGAGAACATTTCTCACCCCAAAGGAGAGGAACTACAAAGTTGTTATCACAGGGTACGAACAGTATGTGATACTCACCTCTGTTTCTGTCAACAATAGATGATAAAAGAACAATGTCTGTCCCAGCAGCACATGCCATTTGCTTCAACAGCTGGAACCCAAACAGATGTGTATTAATCTTATTGTGATGCTTCATACAAATCCCTTTGAGCTAAGAACCAACTGCCACCCGTGTATGCACATGTATATGCCATAGTAGTAACTCTGCTTTAGCAGGGGGTCTCTTTTCAGTCTGCTCCATCACTTAGGGTTTAACCTATATAAATACAGCTGTAACTTGGAGTGATTTGTTTGTCATCCACAGATGAGAATGTAATCCCATATGGACAGCCCAGCTTTCTGCCCCAGGGCCAGATGTCAGGCTACGGGTCCCTGGGTGGAGGAGTTCTTTCACGACCCTCCACCGCTGGCCGGAGGAGAGATGAGGTATGTCTAGACTTACGGTAGGAACTGCTGAACAACAAAGCGTTCAAAATTGTGTCTGTATAGTGTGGGTCACAGTCAGTTCAGCAGTAGACTGAGGGCATTTTGAGCTGCTTGTCAGATTCCTTGAGACTGTCCATAATATACGTTTCCCCCGGATTTTGGGCAGAAAGTTATCTTACATAGAGAGCCACCAGAAGTCTAACAGTCTGAGTTTGGGTGCTGCTCAAGTTTTCTTGTGTGCAAGTATGCATGCAGTGTGGTTTGAAAAAACAAAAAATGTCCATGTCAGGATGTATCTTTTAAGAATTAATGAAGTCACGTGTTTATGAATTTTTTTAAATGAATGGAGAAAAATATCCCTAAAATATTGATATTGGTATTTCATCTAAAAATGCAGTACTGGTCAGGCTCTATACTGTTTATTAATCTCCATGTTTCTGTTTGTAACCTATATTTAAATGTAACTCTCAGACTCTTGCTCTGTCTCAATGATCTCTGTGTTTGTTTCCAGAACCTCATGTAGATGGCCGTCGATGGCATGACATCCTCTTATCCTCCCCGGTTTCCTGTCTTTGCAAACCATCAATCTGTTGCCATTATGAAAACCTGAAGACTAAAGGGAAAGTGTCAAGGCTTGCCATCTGCCTTTTCACAAACTATTTTGCTTTATCTTAATGATTTTATCTTAATCGTCACCCTTTCTCCATGTATATATAGCCATCTTTGCAATTTTTTAAAAAATGTGATCAGATGATGTATTACCAGAAAGCAATCTGGGGTTTAAAAAATACTGTATTTTTAGGCATTGGGAAGTTGATGTAACAATTACATTATTGTACAGCAGATTAATGAATGTATATTCTGTTTACTCCTCCTGACCATGAAACCATGATGATGTGCGTGTTTGACGAAAAACTGGAGAAGACACAAGGCTGAACAAGTGGTGATTAACCATCGTGAGTGTGTGTGTGTGTGTGTGTGTGTGTGTGTGTGTGTGTGTGTGTGTGAGTGTCTCAGTGCATGATGTAGTGTTTGTGTGTTTCTCTTGTTATCTCTCATTGCTGTGTGACTGTGTACTGTGGTATTCCTGTAGATCACCACTGTGTTAGCTCTGTCAAGATTAATTATTATTTTTAAACTGATCAATAAAACATTTATTACAAAAATGCCTCTGTGCATGTCTGAATTAAACAGAATATTATGTAGGGCTAAAGCATTTTTTGCCACGCTTGCACCATAGCTCTAGACCAATGTCGGTTGGTCCTCTGTTTTGGTCCACCACTTTGGTCCAGACCGATATTTCTCAAAATCTATAAAATAGTTTGCCATGATAATTTGGTAGAGCCACTCATGTCCCCATAACTGTTACAACTTTGGTGATTTTTTTTCTTTCCTCTTTTCATCTTGTACCATCAACAGGTCAGAAATATACATTTTTTCCAATTGGTTTATGACCTACGGAACATTTTAATAATATTAAATGTATTGTTTGTGTGCACATTAGTAATTTTGCACAAAAAATAAGCAAGATGGTGGTGGCCAAAATGTCTAACTCTAGGCGTCATACCAGCAGTTTGGAAACCAATGGGTGATGTCACAGTGACTGTGTCCACTTCTTATATACAGTCTATGGTTAGCATGCTGATGTTAGCATGTAGCGCAAAGCAAAGCCTAAGTACAGCCTCTTAGTTCTGCAAGAATTACTCTTAGTCTTGTTCATAGAGCCAGTTCATAGAAATGTTTGATTTGTACTGGAAAATACTGACACACGCTTTAAATTGATCCTGAAATAATTCTGGTCGGCCTGGAAACCATTTGAGCGAAGTGAACAAAATATCTTTCTTTATGACATGTGTGTCGGATAAGTCAGAAAACTTAGAGGAGTATGAAGAGAAGCGGGAGAAAATGGGGGGCAAAAGAAGACTGAGGAGTGAGCTCACATTTTTCCATCAGTGCTGTCTCTGAAGGGTCTGTTATCTCGTGTTCCAGTAAAATGGCTCTTCTGATACAAGCTACTGCGAAGGATTTAATGCCTTCTTCAGATTGCAGAATTCTGGGAAGACATGTTAGTGAATACGACTTAATGAAAGGAGGTAACCTTCACCTGACTGTGAACATTCTTGAAATGTGAAAGTATGATGGGATATAAAAAGGCTTTCTTCGTGCCTGCACCTTCACAGCTCTTTTGTGCTGATCTCATTGGTTTACAGTGTTTTGGCAGGGAGCTGGCAGTTGGATGGTGTGGAAAGTGAGTTGGACTCCACTGCCTCTGGCAATACTCACTGGGTCCCACCAGGCTAGGAGAAGGATAATGGTAATCCGATGCAATTTAGAAGGGTTCTACAATGTTATGCTTTTAGGCCTGTAGCATGGATTAAGGTCTCTGTGGTTCTCTCTCACACACACACACACACACACACACACACACACAGGGCAGCAGTCTGTTACTGAGGCCACTTCATTATGTTCACAAATGTACTCAACTGGATCAACAGGAAGATTTTTTTTTTCTTCTGCAATATAAATGTATTTCCTTGAATCAATGTACGGCAATTTAGCTGACTTCAAAAATCCCCTCCGGACACTTTTTAAGACAGAAGATATAAAAGTACTCTGCTTAGAATAATACAATTTAAAGTTTCCACATGAAACTGTACATTTTTGGACCACGATTGGTCCCTAAACAGGTTGTGATTTACTAGCAAAATCAGCTCATACATAGGCCAACACGTCTTAAACTTAAACCCTCTTCAGCAGATGAATGTGAAAACAGCCTTCTAGTGGAAAGTGAAATCACAATATAAGCAGTGTTTCCCACAGGATTCTGTGAGAATATGGTGGGTGGATCTCAGACCCCCCTAGGGTGTCCGTAACTCAAAATAAAAGGGGAAAACTAACCCACAAAACATTAGTGGTACAAATTTAAACCTGACCAATATTGAATTAGAGAAACCATCAAAATCGACACTTCCAGGATCACAATACATTATGAGCTGAAGCCCCGGTGCCAGTATGGGGATTATCCTGCTAAAGTGTATCCCTACCTGCTCTACAGGTGTTCATCATGTATCGGACCCTGTAAGATCAATAAACTAAGCAGGAGCTGCTGGTGTCATTATCATTATGGAAAGGAGATTATTTGTAAATCCCCCTTGACAACAACGCGATACAAAATGCTTTACATAAGACATAAAAATGCATCCAACATACAAACCAATACAACAACACAGGAAACAAGCTGAAGTATGTCCCAAATACAATTTAATCAAAACAAAAGGTCTCAATTTAAAAGGACAGATAATTACGTAAAGCATTCTGGATCAGGGATGACTGATGATAGAAAATGGATTTGGGGTAAGATATGAAGATGATATGGCTGAGCATGTAACAAAACAACAACATAATCATCATTTAAATCAGAATCTCACAGTGAATTCAGATTGTGATTCTTCGATGGCATCATGGCACACTGGCCACAAACCCATTCATGTGAGACAAAATCCAACTAATGACTCAGTTGTTACTGCACGACTGAATAAAAAAGTCCCCATCTAGTGGTCATAAATGAGACGCGCATGGTGACTGTGACGCCCAGTGACCCCATTACATTGTGCTGTATTTTGTCTGCTGTCAGTGAACCCTCCAGAACTTAAAGCTACAGCACTTCTTTTGGAATTGAATGCAACGTACCAGGACTGCCACTAATATTTGAAGTTTCAAGCTTTTAGCGTGACTCTGAAATCATCATCAGAAGCAGGTAGATGTGTCAGTAACACTAGAAAGTAAACATCAGGTGTGGTTAAAAAAAAAAAAAAAAAAAAGACTTGACTTGTCCTAGCAGGAATAGACAGGTGTTACTAATAACACTTAACTTGCCATAAGCAGATATGAATCTTTTCTGAACAGTGGGCAAAAAGCGTCCACGGAACTGAATGATGTGGAGAGCATTGTGCTGAAGGTCTCTCTTACCGGTTAGGCCTGTGCATGTACATAATATCCTTTAAAAGGTGCAGTCAGCGATTCTAATGCAATTTTTGGCAAATTCAGCGAAAATCTTCTCACAGTGTGCTTGTGCTCAGTGTCAGTGGGAGCGAGGGGGACGGTAAAACGTTTTCTTTTTTTCATTTGTGTGGGTGTTGAGTTCAAATATCAACACGCTTTCTCCAAAATCACTGACTCTCCCATGCACACAATGCTTGGCGATCAAGTCGTGAGAACAGCGCCGGTAGGTCAGACATATACAATAATCTATCAAATATGGACGACTACAATGACAATAGATTCATTTATTATGCATCGGAAAAAAAGGTATTTCCATGGCCTCCGCTATTTCTGACAGACATAACATATTTTAGCCTAACCAGTGTGAACACCTGCTATTTATTAGCTGATAGTGGTTTTAATTTTTTTTAAAAGAAAGCTTGAAAACAGCAAACACAGCAGACTTTTTGGGGGCAACTCCTGCTGCTCTTAGATGTAAATCAACTGTTTTATCAGATTTATTCCAAACAAACTTTTCATAATTGTCGCTATTGATGACTGATCATGTTCCTGATTAAAAAAGCTTCAACTCTTCATATGTAGTGATCTGTGTTCAAGGGTCATTTAGTGCAATGCGCCACCTGCTGGCAGCAGAAGAGAAGTGTACTTTACTGAGTCATTTGAAAATGAATGTAATTCTGGATCGCTGCACGCCATTAAGCCTTGTTTGCTGCTCATATCAAGGTGTTTTAAATGCGCTATAGACATACAGCATCTCTGCTATGGCTGAAGAAGCAGGTCCACCTGCCATTACCAAGTGCTGCGAGTGTGGGAAAACAACAATGCGCAAAGCCTTTGGCAATAAACCCGGATGGCACTAATTTGAATCCAGGTGAAGCGGATTACCTGCAGTTAGATTAGCTGGTTTCCTGATACTGTTGGCAGAAGTTATTAAGTAACTGAGGCTGCAGTGAACAATGTGGATTATCCTCTACAGCGTGCCTGTCTTTCGAAAATCTTGAAATTAATAAACACCTCGGTGACACGAGCCGTGGGGTATTGCTATAAACCAAAACTCTGTGAAAAATATTGCGATTTAACGTGGAGTGGTTGTACTGGGGGGGAATGGCTAACTGCAAGCTTGCCTGGGCTTTTTAAATAATATGTTCGTGTGTGTGTCGACATGATAACAGTAGCTAGTCAAGAACAGGCTTTCGGGATCTCGAGCGTTTTACTGGGAGGATTACCTCACGTGAGAGCAGCAGGGCAACGTGGTATAATTGGGCAAACATGGCAACCCAAACTACAAAATGGAAAATGGAGCAGTATAAAAGCAAGTTAAGGTATGTACCCACATGGGATTGTCACCTGTGTGAATTGTGAAACAGCGCACTAACATAATGTCAGATTGTAAAATCCTGTTATATCTTGTTTTTTAGTTTATTTATCTGAGCTATGTTAGTAGTTGCCCCACCATCGTTTCCACCTTAAACGAGTTTGCTACACCATCAAAAAGAGACTTGACTTCTCACCGAACAGGTCTCTGCAACGTGCTGCAACAAAGTTAAACACGTCTATTGCAGCTTCTTCACCTAAACTGCACAAAGTAAATCTATTAGCCGCCCACCATCCAGCTCATCATCCTCTCTTCTGTCACTCATCTATATGCATCTTGTGGTTGTGTTCATGTTCACTATAGCATGTTTTATTTTATAAATGTTTGAGCAGGTTTTTTTTTTTCCATAATATAAGTGTGAGACTACATTAATGGATCAACCTTCTATTTGTCTTTCCATTGTTAATATGAGGGACATTAAAGGACTGTGGTGATGGGAGCTGCTGTAGTATCTTAATCATTTATACCACCTGCCTGAAAATGATTGATTGAATGTAAATGAACACATTGCACAACTTAAATCATAATTTGTACTCAAAGTACTACATAGAATTGCTTTAAGGCAGAAATTACCTGATTTTAAATAATATTTTTTACTGGAAATGTGTTTTTGATAAATCCTTCTGTCTATTATGCTGATGGTAAAGCCACTGAAACGACTCAAAATGAGATCAGAGTTTACATTTTAGCACTGATCTCTGCTAAATGCACTTTTCCAGCCATGGCCATGGGGGACGCCTATTGCAGGCCATGGGTCTACTGTATGTGTGGTTGTGCTGCATTTTGAATTAAAAGCCCCGTGTCATCAGTATTACCGAGTTGTGTGCAGCGCTTTGACAATTTTGTGTTTTCAGCAGATTCCCTAAAACACAAAACTCATCCTCTGTGATTGGTTGTGGCTCAGCATGCTCCATTGTTCCATCAGCCCGTTTGTTCGCTTGGTTTCCTACACACAAACAAAACTTTCCTGCCTGCCCTGCGCAATATTGGGCTCCTCTGTGCTTTGATAACCCGAAATATTGGAATCTCTGTCTTTTTCTGAGGGAAGAAAGATAAAGGTAGGTCATTAATATCTAATGTGTGCAAAATATGTTAAAATGGTTTAAAGTTCTTTCTTCACTCTTACGATTGGTAGTTAACCTTTTTGAACCCTAAATTTCCCTTACATTATCTCTTTAAGTAGCTTAGGGATTGGGGAAACTCAGTTTTTCTGAACTATTAAAGCCCAAGATGTCATTCATTTATGGATGCAGAATTTAATTTTAAAAACTATTCTAGATATGTTGTTAATCATTCTATACGCTTTCCCCATATAGTTCAGCATTACATGAAAGATATCTTTGATAAACCCGGTAGTCTTGCTATGCACTGAAAATTTAAATCTGAAAAAGGTTTTTAAAGATGGACTGACCTCTCAGTCTGGCAGGTTAATGACTGTCAGACTGAGCTGGCTGCTTGTTCACCATGTAAATTTCCTCTGTCATTGCCTAATGAGTACCGTTTCTATAATCAGATATGTCAAGCTCCCGTATAACATTTGTTGGCATCCTGCTGAATGCATTTAGATATTGTTTAATTCATATTCAGTGTTGCCCCATGCTCTGTAACAGGAAGTGCCTGCTTTAATTGGTGTAGCAGGGGACAGATGTTTGCGAGTCTCTGACCTGCTCTGTTTTCTCTCGACGTGTCAGTCAGTGTTTTTTGGCAGGATGTACAGCTTCATGGGAGGTGGTTTGTTCTGCGCCGGAGTCGGGAACATACTCCTCATTGTCTCCACAGCAACTGACTACTGGATGCAGTACCGTCACGCCAGCAATTACATGCACCAGGGCCTGTGGCGGTACTGTGTGCCCGGGAAATGCATGACACACACAGACAGCATCGGTGAGACTCGCTGTCTTCCACTGCATGTGCACTGGCAGATCCTCATTTCTATTCATTATTTACTGACAGTCTGTGAACTTCCTAACCCCAATGAAAACTGTATTTCATATAGTGTACAGGTTATGTTTGTGACGTTAAGTTTGTGTCATTTATCATAAATTAAATTAATCAAATTGGGTGCAAACCCATTCCCAAACACTAGATGTCAAACTAGAGTTGTCTCCTGCAGATGTAGAAACTCATTGTGAAAATGACATGCATATACCAGCCCTGTGAATCCAATTTAAGAGACATTCATAATTCTTCATTTAGTGCTGGACATACTTTTTAGGTTTGGTTTCGTCTCCTCTCACCCACAGCGTACTGGGATGCCACCCGGGCCTTCATGATTCTTTCCCTGCTGGCTTGTTTCATTGGCATTGTGATCGGCGTCATGGCCTTCATCCACTACTCCTCCTTTGACGGGTTTGACAAGACATTTGCAGCTGGCATCTTCTTCTTCATCTCCTGTAAGCGTCTCCACTATGGCTTCATGCAAGCCTCTCTGATGTCGTGCAAACCTTCATCAGTTAAACCCAATGACTGTGTCTCTTGTGTAGGCTTCTTTGTGTTGCTGGCCATGGCTGTGTACACAGGAGTGACGGTGAACTACTATGGTAAACGATACGGCAACTGGCGATTCTCCTGGTCCTATATAATGGGCTGGGTGTCAGTGGTGCTCACATTCTTCTCAGGTATGCATAACTAAGGAAAACGCATAGGTGTGCTTTATTCTTATGTTTATTATATACATTCATAAATCTGATTATTCTCTTCTAGGTATCTTCTACATGTGTGCCTACCGGATGCATGAATGCCCAAGAAACTCTAACTCACGCTGACCTGCCAAAGACTTCAACATACACACATCAGCACTGGTCCATGATATATGGCCAAGACGACCCAATACTCTATAAACTTTCCAACTACTTCCTGTTGAATATTCATGAATAAGCAAAATAAATGATGAAGAATGTCTGTATTGTCTCTCTACATTAATATAACTTTCAGAAGAGGTGTACAATGTTGTACACTAGGGTTGGAGCTGATAACAGAATGACGTGCATTGTTACAGTAAAACATCACTTAGAGCAGACCTGGGCATTGTACGGCCCGCGAGACGTCATTGGGAAATTGGGAATAAAACGTAAATAATTGTACATCATGCACGGAATACAGCTGCATTGCTTTTATTTTGAAGGAGACTGCTGCTGTTTTTTCTTATCTCAATTTACGCACGTTAGTACGTTCGTGAATGTGTGCGAGCAGCAACGTGACGGCAATCCCAATAGGAGTGTCGGCAACCGGACTCGGGCCGACGTTTCTTCCGGCATGCCGAGTTTACCCCGGAGCTGGGCCACGTCATGTTGGCTACCTGGGATGTGTTGGTGATGCAGAGCGGACACGGACATCTATGGCTTTGTTAGCTAAGCTGCAAAAGCAACATGCTCAGAAGATGTTGGTTCTCTTTGGATCGAATTACATTATGTGAACAAACATTCTCCGTGATTGAGTTTAATTAATCCAGATCCTCTCTCACTGACGATCACCTGTCCTTCACATCTCACCTCACGTTCAACCTGACTTCAGTGCACTCTTTCACTGAGCCAGATCTGGGTCACTCCGGGGCGGGCTGGTCGCTGACGGAGGCCCTGCTGGACTCAGCAGTGGGAGTTTGGAGAACCTGCACGATTTTGCCAGAATCGGACCCGGTGGCACCGATGACTAGTATTAATACTAATAAAGTCAATCCTCTTGTCTTTTCTTACAAGGTCACACAGAGGCATCAGTATTAAATTGATAAAGTTTCATAACCAGTTAACAGTTCCTCACAGTATCTTTAATATTTACATCATTTCTAAAAAAAGATGGTATGTAGTAGAGCAGATGTGTATACTATATATTTTAACACCTCAAATCATTATTAGAATAAAATGCTATGGTAGCTTTTATAATTAAGATCGTAAAAAGAAGAGTCGCTTCAAAGTTGAAAAAAACCCTTTTTATTTAGTTTCATTTTGCAAAGTACTCAGAACAAATTGAAAGAAAAACACCGTGCTAATACAAACTACTGGATGCAACACAGCCGCTTGAACAGACCGCCTACCAGAAAAGCCACAGTGGAAGTGTTGCCGTAAGCCTTGTGTTCAGACATTATAAAAACGATCCCAAAGAAGCGTCGTTAATGACACTCTAGATAACTCAGAGATATTATGTGATCAACCCTCACAGTAACCTCAAAAAAGGAAAGAGAACAAGCTCATGCAAGTTTGGTAAACCTCTAGTTTAGTCAACCTCCTCGATGGTGGGGCCGGAGGCTGCTCCCCCTCCAGGAGCACCACCGCTGAAGCCGCCTGGCATCCCCCCTGGCATCCCCCCGGGCATCCCCCCCGGCATCCCGCCTGCATTTTGGTACAGCTTGGTCACGATGGGGTTACACACCTTCTCCAACTCCTTCTGCTGATGCTCAAACTCCTCTTTTTCTGCAGTCTAAGAAAAGGGAAAAAAGGGGAAGTTAAGTATCGATCTGATGTCAGCCCGACATATTTTCACACCTATGCCGTCAAAGTTTACGACCGCAAAACTTCTTCTAATCCACACCTGGTTCTTATCCAGCCAGCTGATGACGTCGCTACACTTCTCCACAATCTTCTGTTTGTCCTCGTCGCTGATCTTGTCCTTCAGCTTCTCGTCCTCCACAGTGGACTTCATATTGAAGGCGTACGACTCCAGACCGTTCTTGGCAGACACCTTCTCCCTCTGCACATCGTCCTCAGCCTTGTACTTATCTGCTTCCTGGACCATACGCTCAATGTCCTCCTTGCTCAAGCGACCTGGTGGATTTTTTTTGTTTTTAAAGAACACAAAGCTGAATATCGTACGTCACATTTCACAATTAAGATACAGCGTTAAAAGTTGTTCTTCAGGTTACCTTTGTCGTTGGTGATTGTGATCTTGTTTTCCTTCCCGGTGCTCTTGTCGGCTGCGGACACATTCATGATGCCGTTGGCATCGATGTCAAAGGTCACCTCAATCTGAGGAACCCCTCTGGGTGCAGGGGGGATTCCAATCAGCTCAAATTTCCCCAAAAGGTTGTTGTCTTTGGTCATGGCCCTTTCACCCTCAAACACCTGCGGAGGTCAACTCATTAGGATTCATTTGAAATGCAAGAGATCATCTATAGTAATAGTGTTAGTTTTAGCTGAACATGGTGGTCAAACCTGAATGAGCACGCCCGGCTGGTTGTCTGAGTAGGTGGTGAAAGTCTGGGTCTGCTTCGTGGGAATAGTGGTGTTCCTCTTTATGAGAACCGTCATGACTCCTCCAGCAGTCTCGATGCCCAGAGACAAGGGGGTTACGTCCAGCAGCAGCAGATCCTGCACATTCTCAGATTTGTCGCCTGACAGGATGGCTGCCTGCACAGCTGCAGAACAAAAAGGGGGGGGGGGGTTTACGTTTTTAATTTGCTGCTAACTTCGTCAATCTCTTTGTCAGGATTAGTATAAATGTGTTGCCGCTATATCTACAGACTTGAAGGGTTTACCTGCGCCGTAGGCCACTGCTTCGTCAGGGTTGATGCTCTTATTGAGGTCCTTCCCGTTGAAAAAGTCCTGCAGCAGCTTCTGGATCTTAGGAATACGAGTTGAACCTCCCACCAAGACGATGTCGTGGATCTGAGCCTTGTCCATCTTCGCGTCACGGAGAGACTTTTCCACGGGGTCCAGGGTTCCTCGGAACAGGTCTGCGTTCAGCTCCTCGAACCGGGCCCTGGTAATGGAGGTGTAGAAATCGACGCCCTCGTACAGAGAATCGATTTCAATGCTGGCCTGAGTGCTGGACGACAGAGTGCGCTTGGCCCTCTCGCACGCGGTGCGCAGACGACGCACCGCCCTCTTGTTGTCGCTGATGTCTTTTTTGTACTTGCGTTTGAATTCGGCGATGAAGTGGTTGACCATGCGGCTATCGAAGTCTTCTCCACCCAAGTGTGTGTCGCCTGCTGTGGACTTCACCTCAAAGATGCCATCTTCAATAGTCAAGATGGAGACATCGAATGTGCCACCGCCCAGGTCAAAGATGAGGACGTTTCTCTCGGCTCCCACCTGTAGTTTGAAATCATTATTATGTCATTTCAAGTTTATTTGAGGATTGGATACGTCCACCTTCACCCCACATTCAAAGTCCACTTCGGTACTTATATCACATGTCACTTCAAGCTCAAGTCGGGAGGTTCAAACACAAATCTTGAGACGCAAATGGCGGAGAAAAACAAAGAAAAGGGGTTCAAGAAGAGGTGTGCATGATTGAGACGATGCGGCTACCGATTTCTTCTCCCTACATCACACTGTCAAATGTGGGCTATTTATTGTATGTTTTTTGATTGACTATGATGTGGTTTGACCAACCTGTGGAGCCGAAGTCAAATTTCCACATTTGTGGACAATAAAGATGATTATTTTCTTATAGAAAGCCGTAAAGAGAATAGTTATTTTACCTTTTTGTCCAGGCCGTAAGCAATGGCAGCAGCAGTCGGCTCGTTGATGATACGAAGCACATTGAGCCCAGAAATGGTCCCTGCATCTTTGGTAGCCTGGCGCTGAGAGTCATTGAAGTAGGCAGGCACAGTCACTACTGCATTTGTTACAGTCTGCAAGAAGAGTTGCAGCAGTTAATGAGACATAAATTCTCAACATTTCCATTTTTTTTTTGTATTATCATGTTAAAGTTAGGTCTGGGTGTCCAGCAGCAGGGTGTTGGCAAGCTGATGGTGTCGCTTGCTTACTTTCATAACCAGTTAAAAGTTCCTCACAGTCACTTTAAGTTAAATTTGTCTGTGCACTTGATAAATGTACCCTGGTGAGGTGTATATTACTCGTGCAAATGTTCCCTTTTGTAAAGTTTCTGAGAGTAATCTTGTACAAACACAACACACAGTTGTACCTTCCCAAGGTATGCCTCTGCAATCTCCTTCATTTTAATCAGCACCATGGAGGAGATCTCCTCTGGGTAGAAGCTCTTGGACTCTCCCTTGTACTCCACTTTCACTTTAGGGCGTGTTGCATCATCAATGACTGTAAATGGCCAGTGCTTCATGTCTGACTGGACAACCGCGTCATCAAACCGACGTCCAATGAGGCGCTTTGCATCTAAAGGACGATACAAAAAAAAAATAAAATGCAATGAATATGCAGAATAGTCAAAGTTAACTAATCATACTTGTTTAACGAAGCCATTTCCTACCAAACACTGTGTTGGTGGGGTTCAGGGCCACCTGATTCTTGGCTGCATCCCCAATCAGCCGCTCGGTGTCGGTGAAGGCAACATAACTGGGTGTGGTCCTGTTTCCCTGGTCGTTGGCAATGATCTCAACTTTGCCGTGCTGGAACACTCCTACACATGAGTAGGTAGTGCCCAGGTCAATGCCGACTGCTGGTCCCTTAGACATGGTTCCTGAGGGCATGAAAATTATCAGCTGTCAATCATATATTGGCACTAAACTGACAAGGCAGATGTAACTGTGGGTGGCCACCATGATGCACATTTGTACTATGGTGTAATGAGGCTATTATCGGAGTCCGAGCAGCTCAAACAGAAGTGGAAACAAACTGTCTCAGTGAAGTGGAGGTCCGCAGCACCTGTTTTCAAGCCTCCCACGTTTGACAGCTTGGGGAGGGCTTCTTTTATTATGGCAACAATAGACAACAAGGAGGAGCGGGCCTTCTGATGCAGGTTGACTGTAGCCTGACAACCACACTAAATTAACCCACTATTTGAATTATCAATTAATTGTTTGTGTTTGCTTTCAAGTAAAAATACGCCAAACCTTTGATTGCCGTGTGTACATTATTTGTCTTATACGATTGGAAACTGAATATCTTTGGGTGCGAGAAAACCTGGGCTGCCGGACGTTGTTACTTGCCATTTTATTATAGAATATTTATATTCAATACCTTGTGAATTGAACTACATAAATAACTACAGTCACCTAGAGCTGGGTTTACTAGATACTGGGATAACTTGCTGAGTTTACACCATATCAAA